TGGTCCCCACTTATGTCTTTTTTAGACATTTTATTCTTTTACTTGAGAAAAATAAGTAGTAAGGGTAACAAAGGTTGTTAAAATATTAATAACATTAGGTAAACATTTATTTTCTCCTTTTTTGTATCCGCACAAGCATTTTTCTGTTTTAAAATTTGATAAAGTTATGCATACATATTATAACTGTTGCTATAATGCTAGTTAAGCATCAATCACGCAACCCTAGTAGTGATTGTAACATGTCTTTATAGCTAAAAGAAGAATTTTGGTGATTTAATAGTCACATTTGGTAATCATAGTACCGTATATAGTACTTTTGTAAACTTTTCAGTGTTTTGTTCAGCATTACACGTTAAATTCACTACCAAAATAATCGGATGAAGATTCTCAGAAAAAGAAAGTTTTGCAGTGTATTTACAAGAAAACTACTAAAATCATGAATTTGTAAAATATTTCCACTATTTGACTTATTGCCAATTAACATAAAATTTGAATGCGATTCAGCTAACAAGAACACATCCTCTTAATATTCACTAAGGAACAAGCAATAATATGCAAATCGTCAAGTCCCCAAGTGCCACCATAGGGCGAAACGCGTTGGCAAATTGTAAATTATCGCCCAATAAAAGATCAATTGCTGAGGGGACAGCGAGACGGTGCGAGAGATACACTGAAACTATCGAATAATCGATAAACCATTGATTTACAACTCGGTAGGAGAATATGTTAACGATTTATTAGAAAATTGTGTACAATCAGGTTGGATGCAATGCGTAAACTAATTTCTCTGTTAGCTTTGAAACAGTGTTATTTTATTCACCGGTTGTAAATTTAAAATGCGTTTACGTCGTTCAAACGTTTCTATTTATTCTGTATTCATTAAGAGAGTGTAAAGGTATGCAAAAAAGAGATAGGTAAAGTGTTGGACCCAGTAAAAGAGTGTCACGAAAAAATGCAACTGTTACTTAAAGCTGCCACGAGCAAGGTAAAGAACCATCTCCGCACAAAAAAAAGATTGCAATTTAATTGTTGTGAGAAGAAGGTGAAAGAAGAAAAGGATGATAAAAAGTTACTTGTCACGGTGATTCCACAGTAACTTCTGTTAACCAATAAAAACTAATTTCGATTAACTTTACTATTGGGTCTAATGAATATTGTATTGTCAACTAGAAATAAATAAAATGTCACCTTACCATCATTCAGGTGAATATATGTTTTATTAGATGTTTTTGCGTCCGACTTATGAAACTAGTTTGTGAAATGTATTACGGAGACTACAGGTGGTCGAAACCGAAACCATCGATTAACCAAACTATCGATTGAACAATCGTTGGGTGTCTGCCAACTGGCCTGTATACAGAATACAATCGATTGTCACACGATTAGACCACCGGCCACGCTAAGCTGACAATACTTCACCAACAGATTGTGTAAGTAATCCTGGGTATTTTATGGTGGTTTATATAGCAAGTATCGTATTGTTGCCTTAGTTTCACCACTCACCACTAAACATGTCACCAACCTTAGCATTAGCTGTCATTATAGACGTCGAGTGGGCCTAACTGCTATTGTCTTTACCCTCTCAATTCTCCCTACAGTTTGGTCTTTCCGGCTCATTAATGAGTTTTATTGCTTTGTCACCGGTCGAGAATGATTAGGTGGAAAATTAATTCCTCATTGTGTGTTATTTGAGTTTCGTCGTAGGAAGTGGATAGGTTCGGTATACAATTAGTTGGACTTTAAATTGTAATTTAATTTGGATAATTTGTAACTCAAGTTCTTCCTGCACAATAAATAGTTATTAACAATTTCAGGGGTGCATGGGAAGAGCTAAGCGTCAACTTGGTCCAATATGATTCCGAATGGAAATTACAGGTAAGTCTGTTTCATTTGTTTCATTTTTCCCATTGAATTAAGAACTCCTTCGCTATAGTCCAAATATGACGGATTTCTCGGCGAAAAAGTATGAAAAAATCTAGTGGCAGAGCATTATTAATTTATTTTATTTTTCGTAAACATTTTTAGATGTTAGAACAGTACAAATAGTTGTAGGTCAATCGCTATTATTTCGTATGGTGAGATTTTACACAGATTAATTCACAAAGACTAAAAGAAAAATCAATAAAAAAGGTGGTGTTATGATGAATGTCTGCACAATTTAGCAATTCCAGCTTTTATACAATATACCTGTTAGTGATGATTTTTTATGTTATGTGTGTACTTAGAGACGTGTACTATTGCAAAACAAGACAGGTGTATGCCACTGACTAGGAAGCCGTGTAAATAATATAAAATTCGAAAATTTTGCATTCTAAATACGCCTTCAGACAACATCAATGTGCTATATTTTACTTATTCCACAACACATTAAAATTTAACAAAATATTTTTTGTGAGACTTAAAACTGGGTTGGGAGGAAGAGTATATTTTAATGGGGACGTTGTATGTAGGCCACGCAAAATAAAATTCTCTGAGAGTTGAAAATATTCCGAAAAGAAGAGAAACGACACAGTGACAGTCTCGTCACGGAATTCATGAAATATTCTCGTCGCCGTTAAGTTAAAATTCTCACACCTCACACACCCTTACTGCTTTACTGTATGCCTTGCGGCTATGAAAGAATTCGTTGAAATTACGGCGTACAAAGATTCAATTCTTGGAATATTGATCATGAATAACCTTGAATAGAATTTAAAAAGTAACCTGGTGTGGTGTAACTAAAGAGTACCCTTTATCCTGACTTTTTCAAAGTTAGTGAATATGTTTTGTGAAATATACTGTTAATTATATTTGTATGCAAAACACTCATACTACCAACAACATGCATACATTAAAACAAAATACTTATTTTCAAGTCTATCCGTGGAGACATCATCATTCGTACTAATATGATGCACCTCCGTGCAAAGATAAAAAAGTAAGTTGTCCCTAAAGTATTTTTTGTTTTCATTGGACCGATCATAGTAAGAACCCCGACAACGACCTTTTTCAAGTAACCATGTTTGTTTCAGCTTTAAATCGTTAATATCAAAACAGGTTCAGCTTATTTTTCAAGTATTTTAATCAAAATATGAACACATGTTAAGTGTTCGATGAAGACCTATTACTTGTGTGGCAAGTCTTTCTAATGCCCGAACCAGGGATGAACTAATGATCAATCTTTTAGATACGGTTTCAAACTATAAAAAGAAAATGATTTCCAACTGAAATTTTTTTAGTAATGTTTTTCTTTACTATTTTAATTTCTCTTCAATTTTTTTTTAAGCTGTCAAAACCCGGTTTTCATTATCCTAGCCTTTTGTTTTGTCAACCTTACATTAGGCCTAAGTAATAATACCTAATGAATTATCGATTTGTATTAACATTGTAATAATATTAATTAATGTTAATATTAATTTATAGCCTAATGACAAATTACATCTGGGACTAGAATATATTACACACGAAATTGAACCAGCTACATTTATATTTAATCCCAATCAATATAACCATACAGCTTACCAACCCCTATAAACTTTTATTACTAATATATTTTTATCTTTCATATTACGTACGAACTCATTGCTGAAACACCATCACCGACCATATTTGACAAATTATTATTGGGTAATATAATTGAGCCAGCGTTTATGTCATTAGTATCTACCAGCTAGGGTGACAGAATATTAATCACCCAAGCCATAACCCCGACCTGTGTTGGGGATTTGATGCATTTTGTCGCCGGTCAAAGTAATCCCCCAAAAGCCAACATGACCCGGCCCGGCGCGGCGTTTAATAGGGATCACTTCACGCCCTTGGGTCGTCTGGTACAAACGGAGGGTCAAAATTAATTGTCACGCTGGATGTGAAATTTTGAATAAAATTAGCTGGGCAATTCACTAGGGAGTCCGAATAACATTATTTGCTTCAAAATATTTTTTCGCTTTAGTACTATTCATGTTATATTTAGTTTTAGACATTCTGTAGAGAAATATCTGTAAGGGTCATTATTTTGCATTAGTTTCACAGTCAATGTAGTTTATTTACAAAGTAAACTTTTATTTCTTATATGGTAGTTTTTAGATATGTTTTAAAGTACTAGATCTCTTATCATTTGTGGCTCCCTCCAAAAGACAATGTAAATAATAGATAACTATTGAGAATAAATTTTAAAGTACGAATTTGTCAGTATGTACGCTCTTTTATGTTGCATTGGTTTGTAAGGTTTCCTAATTTTATGGTATTGCTACTGTATCTTAAATATTATTTACACACCAGTCATAATTATCCGACTTGATAACCCTCATAGACGATTAATTACATATTGGTTTCCAACAGTAAATAACTTAGGAGTATACGGAACATCAAATCTGGTGGTGAACACATAAAATATACAGTATTACGGACATATTGGGTCAGTTCAACAAGTGATACCTACAATATTAAACATAGATTATTGTCAATATTTATTCAAAATACAGTACAGTAGTAACTCTTAGAGTGTATCTTTTTTCAAATACGTCACGATAAAAAAGAAAAAAAAAGTGAAACATAAACGATGGTTATAAGCCACTGTTGTTTTTTTTTTCAATCCGTATGTACGTCTAATCTTGCTCATTACTGCTTCTGCCGTGTACAACCCTTTAGAAGATCCAAAGCAAATTACTTTTATCAAGTTAGTCCCACCCCTATCTGGCGTACTTCACAGTTAATTCAAGAATCTGCAAAGTCATCCCCCCAACACAGCATTGTTACCTCGCCTGTGTACAGAACACAGAATCATACAAGAAAGCAAACGGTCTTATCGCAGATCCCCTAGCACTCCAAAATATTGCGTCTCCCCCACAATCAGCTGACGGGAACGACTCGAGGCTCGACCGGTGAATAAATGGACATGGGGAGCAGGAATTATCCTGGAAGGTGGTGGAGGCGTGCGGTAGTTGTAGGGATGTTGGGGGGTAAGGTAAGGGGGGTTGGTAGCGCTGAGTCGAGAGTTGGGGCGTAGTCAAGGCAACACTTACCTCTGACTGTGAGACACATCAGCAACACGAGCACTGCAACGGCAACACTTCCCATCGCGGGGCTACCAATCCATACTGCAACAGAGAAAAATATTGTGTAGCAACAGTGGTGCCAATGCATACTGCAACAGATAGAAATTTATGTGTAGCAACAGTGGTACCAATGCATACTGCAACGGAGATAAATATATGTATAGCAACATTGGTACCAATCCATATTGCAACGGAGAGAAATATATGTGTAGCAACAGTAATGCATACTGCAACATAAAGAAATAAATGTGTAGCAACAGTGGTACCAAACTATACTGCAACGGAGAGAAATATATGTGTAGCAACAGTAATGCATACTGCAACATAAAGAAATAAATGTGTAGCAACAGTGGTGCCAATTAACCGAGAGAGAAATATATCAATAACAACGTGGAAATGACAGATTTAACGCAGATTTATACTGCATCAGAATGAAATACATGCATAACAATGCATATACATCACAATAACACTGCAATTGTCATAATAGGACCGCTAAGCAACAGGAAATATAAGCAGTACTAGACAGTACACACGTGCTTCGCAACGGGGAATGGTTTTTAAATCTACTGTATGAAATAGATCCATCATATATTTCGAAAATTAAATTAAACTGTACCACATTCAGTAGTTGATAATAAATACAAATATTTATGTACTCCTGGAAAAATTATATTTTTACACAGCTATTGAAACAATTTCAAAACACTAAAATGTTAGTTGATGTTTACAAGAGACTGTACGCAATACTATTTAAAATACTGGAACACTTGTAGTGTGTCATCCAATAATAACAATCAATGGTCTTCCAAACGTTATGATATTGATTATTTTCACAATAAAATGTATGAAGAGCCAGTTATTTTAAACCCTTGTTTAACTGAAGCTTCCCTACTGGCATTATTCATCGATTTGACTGTCTTACCTTAGCTTCGCGCCACATGAATTGTCTTTAAATAGAAATCCATTTGGAATAAATTGAGTATCTGCTATCTATTATTTTTAGTTTTAATTTAAAATATAAAAATTTTCAGCATTACGTCGTTTTAAAATGAATATTTTACTAATTTTCACAAAGTTAAAAAGTACAAAATTTAGTTGTTTAATCTTTTCCATACCTTTAGTTACAGACCTTTTCCATTTTAACTACTGTACATCTAGCTGACTCTTTTCTTGTTGTACTCTAAACGTTTGATATATTTTTTATATCAAGATGTAGCAATTTTACCCAGAAAATAACACATGATTCCACAACGTATTTCACAACACTCCAGAAAGAACGGGAGATCTCGTAAGAGGTTGGGAATACAAGCTACAATAGAAGCAGGGAGCCATAAAGGTATACGGTCCGTAAAATAATGTTCATCCCCACTGGCGATACGGGACGTCTTCAAGTGTGTGGTATTTATGTGAAAGCGGTATTATAGGTAAAATAAATATCACAATTGTTGTTCAAAGTTAGTGTTTGTATCATGCAACTATTTATCAAGTGAAAATATTCAAAAATAACATTTATCTAGACGAAAGTCTATGATACATGTTTGCTGTAGAAAAATAAATTTGGGAATCCTAGAAGGAAAAATTGTAAATTTTAAGCAATGGCTTTAGAAAATTATTGAAAATGTTTCTTTGTGAGTAGACCAGTAGGCTACTATATTTTTAAAAAATATCTAACGTTTTTAGAAGTTTTTTACATATCTCAGAAACGAAATTGCGATCTAATTTAAACCATGACCAATATTTTATGTTTAAATCCAGTGGATATTGGCCAGATGAAAAATTTGGTTTATAATGCTTCACTAATAAAATTAACTTCAGAGCCACTGGGGCGGAGCCCGAAAGTCCGATCAGAATAAAAACTACTTAGTTTTCATATTTAATGTCTAAAGAATTTGTGTACCAAATTTCAGCCTCCTAGGTAAATGGAAAGTAAGAGAATTATTATGAGTGAGTCAGTCAGTCGGTCCGTGAGGCCTTTGCATTTTATTTGTTTAGATTGTTCTTGGAAGCGAACTGGCAACTTATACTGTATATCTGGTGATGAACACTTTAACAGCACTGCCACATTTAAGGTGCAAAATCTGTACCAAATCATCTGTAGCCAATTTTGATTTTGACTTATTTTTAACTTTGCACAAAAGCAAATTTTTCTTTCGTCAAAAACAGTCTAGATGAAGGATGAGGAAGGATTAAACATGAGCTAGTGATTAGTATACGCGGTTGGTGGTGGGAGGGATGACGTAGCGGGGAGGGGGTTGAAGTTTTAACTCAATTTCCAGTTTGAGACGCCGTGATTGCTCCCTGGTGTTTTTCTGGCCTATCTCTAGTAATTATCACTTCCTGCTTACATTCTGCAACCTTAGCCAGCAATTCTACTTGAAATGGTTTCTGCACTGTAAGTAAAGTCCGATTTGTTCTATTTAGAGTCGTAATTATAGCTTGGCATTGGATTGGATAAAATCGTATACGTGCCCATGGACATATTATGCATTTTAACTGGGGTTCAGGGGCACTCCCTCATAGGACACTCCCCCTAAGGAAAATGTGTTGCAATATATATTTGATCTTTATTCACAATTTTACTATGTCAAGTTTAATTTACTTTTCTCTCATTAAAGTAATTTTTTTTAAGAGGTTGGTGGCCTCTTTTAACCTTGCATTTGCCCGTCTACATAGACTACAGATCTGTGCGTGGAACGTATCGAGCAAAGCAAGGGGTGGGCCGGTACAGTACAAAGGTGAACTGTACTGATAAAAGTTAGTGGCAGTGACCAGGATCCGAACCCACGACACTTCTGCCTTGGGCCCGAAGTCCGCGACGCTACCGACTGAGCCACCGACTCACCAAAATTATGAAATTCTACTAAATTTTATCGTGGATACGTAACAGGTAAATGTTGTAGACCTTTGTATCGTCATTGGCATTTCCCTAACATTTACTTTTCCCCTCAGTTTTCTTTACGGCAAATGAACATTCCCCCAGCACTTACCCACCAGCGGTTGATCTTATCACCTAAATTACCCTCTTTCCTAATTCTGGTCTTGTCTCGAGTTGTTTTGACCTTAGAAATAAAGTCGAGATGAACATCTTGATTCGATTTTTCAATTACTGTATCTTTGTCGCAGTACGTTTTTATTCCCAAGAAAAGTTGGATCGTTTTAGATTTTAATGTTAATATCTATGTTGACCACACAGTAAAAAAAGTATACACACAGTAAGTGTAAAAATTGTATTGTACGTAATATATCATTCTAAAATACTAAAATAGATTTAGTTTACCTTAAAAAAGAAATATATTTTTCTCGCACAAGAAAACTTAATACTATTACCCTAACTACTAAAATGTTCAGGTTTACCGTTGGACAGAACATCTTTAGACCATTATACGACTTTGACATCTCCCTAGAAAGCCAGTCCGTTCCTTTCTCGGTACATAATGCACCTTATTAGTACGCTATTAATAACGAACGCAGCATGGCGCTAGGCGCTACCTGAACAATGCCTGTGTTGTTTTTCATTAATGTCCGGCGAGCAAGAAAACAATGCCTGACTGAGGCATTAATTATTCATTGAACAATGGTGGAATTAAAACTGACGGCCGTACAGAGTGGCCAACGTACCGACAGTGAATTTACCTCGTTTTGTTATTCTGAAAACTGAATAATTTCCCTTCAATTATTCTATGTTTGGATCCAACCGTTTGAAGGGTGCCACCTGCTGATAAAATATAAATTTGGCTGCAACTGAAGTTTTACTGTATTGATCAGCTTTCAAAAATAGAACTGTAGTTTTGTATTAGATTTGTACATATTATGCCTAATCTAGTTTTCATACTGATATTCTAGAAAGAGATTTCCTACTTAACTTATCATCTATTTGCTTTTTGGTCTCACATAATCAAATTCTATGAGTAATATCTCTTTATTGCATTTTAGTCTCGCAATTTAATCTATCTACTTACACATTCTTAAGTATTAAATTATGACTCTTCTCACATTCAAGAATATTGAATTTAATATTTTCACAATTAATAGATATTGCAGTCTAGATAAATAGACAGTAAACGAAAAAGACAATACTACAGCTTTTATACATAAGTGACTGATTGTATGTCCAAAATAAATGCTCATGTTACTACCATTATTTGAATCGTTTCTCATAAAATTTTTCACAACAAATAGTTCACAATAAAATAAAGACAAAATGCTTTCAAACAAACCAATATTTGACACTCACATGAGTTATGCGTTTAAAATAAGTATACATTTCAATGTTTACAACTACATCACCTAATCTACCTTGAATATACTAACTAATAATTGTATTTAATAGTTTTGGATGGCACGAGTCTACATTAAGGAAGGTTATAAAGACGTTTCGAGTAATCCAAAGATTGCAGAATCATCAAAGAAATGCAAATATATAAATTTCAAAGTTAATGTTTGCTGAAAGTAAAGACTTCCCGCCGAGTGCTGCGCCTGAGAAGTTTTAACTTGATTTTTTATTTATAAACTACCGTCTACGTGATTGCTTTTCGCGTCATCCAGGTTTATTCTGAACATATCTTTGCCATTAGCGATGTATGTTTCATTTTAAGTCTTTGATTTATAGTAAAATCATACAGACAAACTGTTGACAAAAAGATTCAATAATCATTTGCGTTGATTACAAAAAGTCAGATATTTAACCACAATACTTGAAGGTGTTTATTTGAGGCAGAAATAATTAGCTTGCGTCACTGTCTTTCTACGAAAATAAATATCTACAGTATTCATGAAATGAATATTATATTTACAACAATAATAAGTTCTGCCGATTTAGTTTTCCTTAAAATGTAATCTTAGACACAAAGACAAAAGTAATTTTCCTTTTGTCATGAGTTAAACCGTTTCAGCAAAGACTATTCCAACAGCAAGTTATTATTGGTTGCAGTATTTAGAATTAATCGTAAGATCAAAGAAACATATGCATGGCAAGTTGTGAAGTGCTAGAGTTCTATATTTCCGTCAGATATTCTGAGCAGTATTTTCTTCAAGAGTTA